CTTTATTTTCTATTTTTCTTCTACGTTTTTTTTCTTTTTGCACTTCAGCTTTCCCTTTTTCTTCTTCCTTTTTCTTTCTTCCTTCTTACTTTTAGTTTGTATTAATTTTTACTCTTGTTTTTAAAACTTTCAATAAAATTATATTAAAAAAAAAGAAATTAGAGACACTTAGATGATAAGGAAAAAGGCAAATAATTATGTGTTCTAATTCACAAGCTGTTTTAGTTTAATGCCAGGATTGGACTCCTTGTGTTACTAACCAGCCAGGCACTTTTTCAGCACTCCAAAATGGCCCCCAAGAAGGGAGCAGCAGATTATAATCACAAAGTAATACTTTAAAAGTTGCAGCTCAGCTTTTCAAACAATAGCTTACAGATCAATATACTCTCCCCATAGTAACCATAATCATCTAAGAATCAATCTCATATCATCATCATTATCATCATCATCAACCAATTTAAATTAATGCCCGTAACTATCAAAATATTGTTTTTAAGATACAAAATCTTGGGATTTTATTTTCTTGCCTTTTTTTTTGTTCTGTACAGTTTTTTTAATATATAATTTTTAAGTAAAATCAATGAAAAATGAAGACACTGCATCTAACAACTTCAAGTATCAGCATGATGGATTGTTTATGTACGGCAATTGAAAAGGAGAGAATGGAGGGGGAGAGAGGAACAGTAGCAGCAAAATGTCTTAAAGGACATTGTACCATTTCAAGAGAGCAGATTGGTTTTCATGGTATAGAAGAAACTTCAAGGCAGACATAGCTTTGTTCTTCAATAACTAGCTGGCATTCTCTGCCTTCCAGCATCAATTACCTGAGTTGGCTGCTTGCTCCTCTATAATAAGAAATCCAACCTTCCCTCTGCCAAAATGTTCAGTGCACTACAAAAAACCATGTGCAGACATCACTCTTAAAGATCTATTCTTTAGATACTACCTCGGCTCTTTCATTCATATATTTGTATGTAGCAGACTGCATCCCCATCCACATTTACGCAAAGGCAGGTCCCATGTGTCCCATGGCACTTACTGTCTAATAACTCCATTTAGGGCTGGAGTCTTAGACACAATGCCCTCAATGGCTAAGAGCACTTTTTATTCGCTCAGACTGATAGAGCAGCTGCCAGAGAAATAGTTTAGCATCTCTTATACAAGCACTCCTAACCTCTCTCTTGAATTTCTGCAATACATTGTATGCTGTGCTATCTCTGAAGGTTGTTCAGAACTTCAGTCAGTCCAAAACAGAGCTGCTCAGTTACAGCCTGGGACTGTTTGCTACAATTATATCATCCTAATACTTTGTCAGTCATGCTGGTTGTCATTCCTTTTCCAGATCAGATTCAAACAGTTGGTGCTGAATGTTAAACTCTTGAATGGTTTGGGGCCAGATTACAAAAAATAGTTTTTGTCCCCATGTTCCTACTTGAGTGGCTCCAATGGGAAGGGACTGGAACACCTTTCCCCAGGGAGCATTCTGATAATTGTCTTTTGTGCACCACATTTAAACACTGCTCTTCTCTGAGGCATTTAAACTTTTGATAGTTTAATTTAAGCTTCCACATTACTCTGGAATAATGGCTTTTGCACATGCTTCTTTTATTTTTATTTCCTGACTATTTTATTCTTTTACATCTTTTATTTTTAACGTCTTTAATCTATTCAGGCAATTCTGATTTTTATAAGGATTAAAAAAGAACTAGATAGATTACCATATTGTTGTTTGCTTTGCCAGCATGCGCCTCCATTTGTTGCCAATACTTTTTAGATTCTTGTACAATATCTTCATGGGTCATTCCTAGGATGACAAAAGTAGGTTCAGAGATTCAATGGATTATAAGATACTAAAACCTTTTCATCACTTTGTCCTATCAGTGAGGAAACAAGTATTTCTGAGATGCTCCTTTTCCTAGAATTTAATAAGAATCCACTATATAATAGCAAATATTGGAGAACATGGGTTTACACTGAATAGTAACAAAATTTTCATAAGTGTACATGAGAGGTCATATGATACATCTTCCACCTAAAATTTAAAAACAAACTTTGGAATTATTGCCTTTAGCTAATAACTGGATGAGCATTACCTCTCTATAGCAAGGGTTGTAACAATTCAGTCCAAATCAGTTCCCCAAGCAGGTTCTACAATGTTCCACAGAATACACAAACTAGTCAAGGATTATGCTTACTATGAACTATAGTAACTATTCTAATTAGGAACTACTAGTTGTGTGTGTAACTGCAAGTGCAAGAATTGGAGTAGAGCCTACCTCCTCTTTCACTATATACACACACTCATTCAAGCCACTGTCTAGAACTGGTAACTTCTGCCAAGTCCGAGAGAGAGGGCTGGATGGAATATTAAAGGTAGGTATTCCTCCATTCAATAATGGCCAAAATATTGCGCTGCTCAAGGATCCAAACAGAGGTGAGGAAAGTGGTTCTACTGATACCTATATTTATTCATTTCTGCACAAATGTTGCAAAAGTATTATTGCAAGGCACGCAAGCCAAATGTCCAAAAACCAGGCCTACCCTCAGCCTTCCCTCCTGATCTCCAATCCACAGTTACTCTCATCAATCCTGTAGACATAGCCAGAGACCCAATTTACAGCAACTACTTTTTTTCAAAGTTTACAATATTCATATCTAAAACTCTTCCTTCAAATCATTTCCATCATATAATCAAGTATGTAGGACATTAATTAAGGTTGTCTCACTGGACACAATAGATTGTATTAGAAGGCACATGCAGTTCTCTGACCAAGTATATTGTACAAGTAATTTAAAAAAAATCCTCTTTTGCCTTTCTTCAATTTCTGGATGACATTCTCAGTGGGAACTCAGAGAAACAGTGTGCACATGGAAGCCTGCAAACTAACCTCCCTGCAACCCTTCAGACAATCCCAGCCAAGTGATCACTCACCAGAATATTGCTGCAGCAGCCAAACTTTAAGCTCGATAAAGCTGTGAGCAAAATGGCAACTATCTTCACGCAAGCAGCCATAACGCACTTCATGCCGGCAGACATCAAACTGAAAATGCTCCTGAAACTGGCGGATTTTAGAGTATTTTAGAGAAGTGGAACGAACAATGTGAACCAGACACCTGCAAAAAAAGAGAGATTCATTCATATTAATCCTCATTAAAAAGTCAGTTACTGAGTATATTTAAAGATAGAACTGAGTCAAAACCAGCCATTTTCCCATTTGCAATGTCCACACATCTGATACTTGGGAGGGGGTAGTTCCATTTCAGTAGCTATCATCATCCAGCTTCCAGATCCCGTGAACCCACTCTTGCTGTCCAAGCCATCTTTCTGGAAATCAGTGTGTATCTTTAGATCAGGTTATATTAGGACTACTTGTATCTGTATTAAGCTCCCCAAGTGTTACGGCTAGTATTAGGATAACTGATCATTGGTCCCCTAATAGCAACACTTACATTATTAGTACAAAGGAAAAGATGTTTTAAATGTCGGCCCTGCATCTCTCAACTCCCCAGGGAGATACATATGGCCCCATAACTGCTCATTCAAACTGCTGAGGTTGGTTTGAATTGCATTGTACATGGGGAGTTTTTTTTTAGAGTTGCTGTTGATTTTTCTCCCTTAAAAATAATTACAATTTAACTACAAATTATTTGTTTTAAATAGTAGGTTGTGAGAACAATGCATTAGAAGCAGATGAAATAAAATTTTAAAAATTAGGAAAATGTTTAAGGATCAGAAGCTTCTTGGAAAAAGCATTTCAATCAAACCAATGCTGTTTAGTTTGATGATTAAAAAATAGGCATAGCTGTATGGAGGCCGCTTCAAATTACCAGCTAGTAATCAGAGCAGCCACAACATAACCATGGAATAATGCATGCTGGATCTGGAATGAGTAATCATTTCAACATTCCTACAAAATAGCATAGTATTGTTCCCATTATAGAAGATAAAATGTTATTGTGAGTTTGTGACTCACTTTGCCTTTTACAAGCAGTTACATATTACTGGCTGAAGACAAGTCCAACCCCACTTACTTATTATCATAAAAACTATGTTTTGCAGCTAGGTTGGAACACACTGCTGGAGAGTCCTTGATCCCTTTGCTGATTATTCGGGGTTTGCTATCAAAACAGACCTGCAAGCATACATATAAAAAAGCAGTTTAGACTTTTTTTCTCTACACACTTGTATAAAAGACAATGACATCGCTTTCAAAGTACTGCAATCTTTCCCTACAAGTGTACATTTCTCTCCAATTCTTGAATATAAATCATTACTTTACATAAAAAAACTGACACTTGGAGGCTCCAGCAAAGAATCATAGAAATGAAAGGAGTAATTTAGTAATTGACACTAGCCTCTGCTCAGTATATGAATTCAAATCAAAGCATCTCTGACATATATCTACCTTCTGCTTAAACACATCCAGAGAAGGGAATTTCACCACTTCTCTTGATAACTAGTTCCACTGACAAACTGCTTTTAGTATTATGAAGCTTTTTCTAACAGTCAAAATTTGCTTTTCTATCACTTTAATCCATTATTTTGTATTTTGCATTCTACATCCTTTTTTGTATGTGACATCCTTTCAGGTATTTGAAGAGCTCCATCATATCTCTTCCCAAGTGTCTCTTCTCAAGGCTAAGCATTCAAAATTCTTTCTCTCTCTCTTCATACAATTTAGTTTCTAGTCTTATGTTCATCCTCACTGCTGTTATCTGAACCTGTCCTATTTTGTCTAAATCCTTGTAAAACTGTGGTGGCTGGAACTAACATAGCACTTGAGGTAGGGTCTGATGAATGCAGAATAGTGGAACAATTTCTTATATTTTGGAAACTAGCATTTGAAGAACTTTTCAAAAGTACTATTACTAACCCAAGTATCCTCATTTCTTTTTCTTTCTTTTCTTTTTCTTTCTTTTCTTTCTTCCTTTCTTTTTCTTCCTTTCTTCCTTCCTTTCTTCCTTTTTCTTTCTTTCCTTCCTTCCTCTCTCTCTTCCTTTCTTTCCCTTCCTTTCTTTCCCTTCCTTCCTTCCTTCTTCCCTCCCTCCCTCCCTCTCTCTCTCTTTCTGTTTATTTTTCAAATTTATGTATGCCACCCATCTCACTATACAAGTGACTCTAGGTGACATTTTTACTTTCTAAGCAAAGAACTCTGCATTTGATTCTACTAAAGACCATTATTTTCAATAAATTTATCTAAACTATCAAGATTATTTTGAATTTTATTTCTATCTTCTCAGTATTAGCTATCCTTTCTAATTTTGTGTCATCTGCATCGCTTCTCGGCCTTTTGGCTAAGATCAAGTGTAGTGTAGTGTGTCATCTGCAAAGGTGGTAGTTCAAACCAGCTTCACAGTTAAAAAGCCCAGGTCTTCTGAAGCCAAGTCTAACACTCAATCTGTTAGGACACAGTATTTCGCACATCACATGAAGGCATCAGGTGATTTGTTTGGGATTGATTTAGTAATGTGTTGTGAGAATGTAGCCATATCACACTGTATGTTTTTCTAACCAGTCACTTTGGTTCATTTAGCAAACCATAGCTTATTGCAATGTGTGAACTAATTAATGGTTCTCTGCCCAGTCACTAAAAAAATCAGAAGCTTGTCCTAAAAATAGATCACATGCAAGTTAAAAAGAGTTTTCAACTCTGCTTGGTTCCTTAGGCTAACGATAAACTTATATGCAAAGAAATCACAAGTTCACTCATTCTCATATAAGCACTTTCTGTTCACAGCTCAGTTTAAATGTGAGAGTGAATGAGCTTGTGATGTTTACCTTCAAAACCCAAGTGTCTAAAGCTGGCATTGGCCAGTTTTCCTATGAGGCAGCCGAGCAAGGAATTAGAAAAGACACAGTGAACAGTACCATGAAAATACATCTTGTATGTCTGTACTGCTTACTCCGTACCTCACAAAGGAAGGTGAATATGCCCTGGTGTTCTTTCAGGATCTTGGTAATAGTCAGGCTGCCTCGCTTGATCCCACCCAGTGGATCAAACAAGAGGTCACGATTGAGGGTCCCCTTCCGCTCCTCTGTCCACACGTCGATCTCCTCCTGGTGGTACGCGAAGGTGCAGTTATCCCCGTACTTACAGTCCTGCTTGTTAAGCATATCTACAAAGCAACAAACATCACACCACCACACACGGAGTGGAGGCTAGAATCAGAACTAAGGTCTCTTGCTACCCCTTATCCTGTTTCCTTCTCTCCCTCCCCAAGCTTCGCAAATGGCTAGAGAGACTGAAAAGTTCATGAAGTCACATGATGAAAGAGCCTGATGAAATTTACTACAGATATTCATCTTTTACTAAAAAATCTTTTACTAAAAAGATTCATCTCCTCTTGACTAAGCAAGAAAGGATTTCATGGGAGCAGAGCCTACCCTACCCTGAGGCACAATAAGGTGTATGTAAACATTTGTCAGATTTCATACCAATCACAGCAATAAACCTTGGTCCTCCAGAAACTCAATCTTGAGTTCAGTAGCTAGCTAACAGCAGAAGCTGACTTGACCCATGTAGAGAAGTTGTTTTATTACAAATAAGAAAGAAGCTGTATACAAGCAAATCTACGTATGCAGAACACAGAAATCAAATCCTATTCAAATGTGTCAGTCATTTAAATTTATTTAAATTTAAATAAATTTAGGATTTAAATCCTAAGACTTTTCCTCCCACCCTTTGAGCGAGTCAGAATTTTGGCCCTCCTTTTCCTAGCCCTGAGGTTGGGAGGCCCCTGCTCAATGTTTACAAGAGTTTTGTCTGACCTGATAATTGTTGGTTCCCACCTCACCAGTGTCAATCCTTACACCATCATGCAAAAGCAACAAAGTATTAACTATTTATTATTGTTTACCTTTACTTTCAGAGGGAAGAAGGGACCACCTTAGGACTGTCTACTTCAGTGCCATAACTACTTCACAGAAGTTGACTATGTATTTAACTTGGGTTCTCTCATTTTGGGTTGTCTCTGAGCATTCGTGAGACTCCACATCAAATATTAGTGAATTAAAATCTCACCATGACAGCTAGATGAATAGTCAGTTGAATATTCCCTGAATGTTCTCATTATGCATGTTTTAAATTTTACCACTAACATGAGTATTTTATGTGCTCATAAAATACTCATAGTTTGAGTTTTGAAATTTTATTAAAATGTTAAGGGAGTGGTATAAATCTTTATAATCAGTAAATGCAGTGATTAAATAAGTTAATAATAAGATAAGTTAATAGTGAATTGCCCTCCCATTCTTTGGCCCACCCTGCACAGAACTTTTCTTCCTTCACGAAACAGCCTGCATTTCATTACATTCTTTTCTTTCTTCAATTCACCTTTGCATAGATAATAGGATCCCACAAAGTTTGTCTTGGTTGGACGAGGGCGAATTCTCTTCCAGGTTTTATCTTCTGATATACGACGCCTGCCCAGCAGTATATCTCGCTTGCACTTATGTTCCAGGCCTTCTCGATAAGTATAATCACCAGCTTTGGGTCCTACAAAAGAGGACAATATTAACAAGAGCCCAATTTTCCTAAATGTTTGGGGCCATCCTCATCATAAGCAGATGACCTGTTTTGGGATAGCAGATGTGACAGGCCTGTTTGAAGATGTGAGTGGACACCAAGGGATTCTTCACAAGCAGGGTTGTGTTGGACATCACCGATTCTGGCTGAGACATAAGCAACTCTACAACTTTGGGTACTGTGGTGAGGCTTGGCCCACTTTGGTTTGCCTAAAAAAGGACAATAAAATAAACCTCCTTAGAGATCAGCAACATCTACTACATCTACCCCTTCCCAAGGTTCTTCAGTTTCCAAATGAAATAGCAATAATGAGCAACTTAAAGTAGGCACCTGCTTCATTCTCAACATGTAGCAGGTCGCAGAGAAGGAACTTTTGCTTATTGCAAAAGTGTTAGTAATGATTAAAATAAGCAGCACTCCCTTATATAAGGTTTCCAAGTTCATTTGTTCAGTCATAAAATGGTTTAGACCTGAAAGGAAATTGTTCCTTTACTCATCCAATAATGTCAAATCACTAACACAATTTGTGGTCAATCCAAAACAGAATCTGAACAGACTGGGAAGCAGAGTTGAAAAAAGAAAAAAAAATGATGGAAGCACAACAATATTTCGCTAATTGAGGACCTGGATGAAAACAGTGGAGTGGGAATTTCTCTTCTTGCTCTCAGCTGAGAGAGACGGTTACTCACCATAGGTAGTGACTTTTGGATACCAGCAGGTTGTCGGGGTTCTTGGGTGCTGGTTTCCTCTAAATGGTGAGAGAGAAAAAATAATTTAAGAAGATTTATCAGTCTGAATATCAATTACGCAGTGTGCTATCAACAATGGAGCGCTACTACACACAAGCACTTTCTTTGTACTCTTCAAATTTCACATATATTTAGGGCTGAAACAATTCTGGAAGCCAAGAGCCTGAAACTAGAAAGGACCATTATGAAAAGAATGCAGATGCCTTTCATATCCAAGTCCAAAAAATGAGTGGCACAAAGTCCATTGCCACATAAGGGCAGGAGAAAGAGCTATAAGATTTAAATCCTGCCACATACAGTGGGGTGAACTGTTAGATTCTTCAGTAGCTGATCTTCATTATTAGGGTTCCTTTTATCTGCCAATTTATCTATCCAAGCCTTGGCCTTGATTCTTCCACTGCTAGCTCTTGAGTGGTGGGTCAGTTCTAGAGAGAAATTTATTGCCACACCTTGGATGAAACTCTGCTGAACAACAACTTCTAGCATCCCAGTCAGCATGGTCAATGGTGGAGAATCCTGGGAGATGTAGCTTGAATTAAATGTTCATTTTTTCAGCACAATCTTGTTATTTATTCTTGCTATAAACCATGTCTTTTTTTCAGATTTGTCTCTAAATCTGTAACACTTGGCTCTCCTAAAGCTATTATCCAACACTTTTAATACCAACCACATGATGGATACTACACAAACTGACACAGTACATTTTATGATCAGCAAAAAAACCATAAACAGCAATGGAGGGGCTGACCCCAGACACACAAGTGCCCTCTCCTTATGGGATACTGATGCAGGATTACTCTTCCTGTGTCACAAGGTAACATTACTTAAATAGTCCCCGTACCTACCAACAGTAAAGGAATCTAAAGCATCCAATGATCCCCTACTGGTTCCAAAAGCATCCAACATATCCAGCCGAGACTCTGCGTATGGGAGCAGATCTAGTGAATCCAGTGAATCCAAAGGAGAGGTGCCATTGCCCCCAACTGATGTTTCAAAGGTATCCAGAACAGATGAAGAAGAGAGCTGCTTTGTGGCCTCCATCACTAGGCCAAAGGAGGCAGGTGGCAGTGGTGTGGAGACTGGAATGTTAGCGGTCACCACAGGAGGAAGAAGTGGAGTACCACCTGGAAACACAGGGATGAGCTGGGGCATCTCACTTGGTAGATTGGCAGGAATGGCACCACGGACAAGAGACTTCAGGGAAAGATAAAATGTGTTACAGTTAAAGGGAAGAAGTTAAATGTATTTTTTCAGCCTTTCCTACTTTATGCTTTCCAGATGTATTGAACTTTATGACAGACTGAGCTCTACATAACCTGCTCTGTGAGGCAAGAGAGGATGTGGTAGACAGATAGATAAAATGTCACAGGGAACCAGTTGGCTCTAATATTAGTCCACAGTTACTTTTTCCAATGTGGAAGCAACATCAACCACTGACTCAGTAAATGCTTCTGAAGTGCAAATCCTGCTCCTTATTGCTATTAAGGGTTAGGGCTGTGCAACACTTTGGACTCAGGGCAAAAGGGTGCTTCAGGGTGATCAGCAGTGTCTTTTTCTAAGGATGGTGGAACAACTATGAAGAGTTGTTGTGCAATCCTGGAAAAATGTGCAACTGCTTTAAAGAGTTGCAGACTGGTGCTACATTCATGACCCTGCACAGTCTGAAGGATCTTTTGTCTTTGAATCCAAAGTACATGGTTATGCTGGCATCAATTTAACCATGATTAAAGCTAGCCAGGTATTCAGGACAAGCTTGAAAGAAGTAGCATAACTGGACAGAGGAAACCAAGCACACAATGGGCAAAGTATCCCAGTGGGAACAAAAGCTTCAGGAAGTCATAGTAAAGCAAAGCAAAGAGCAGCAGAAAAACGATCAGCTTGAACATCTATCCTACCAATAAGCTATTCCAGGTCGTTTTTATAGGAACTGCAAGAGATTGGAGACAGAACACCTCAAATGAAGAATAGTATGAAGTACATAAAGGCCTCAGATATCATGTCAGGGTGCTTTCCCTAAAAAGATACTTTCCAGTTTTCTGGACAACAATCACTATTATCTCTGTCTTTTGGCTGTGAAAGCAAAACTGTTGAGGCTGAATTCCAAAATATTTGGCTACAGAACTTATTACATTTGTCCAAATTTTACTAGTTTTAATAGTGGCTCAGATGCGCTAGGGACTGAAACCTGCACTTTCTGTATGCAAAAGCAGGTGCTCTACCATTAAGTGATGGATTTCCCTATACCTGATATCAGAGCTTCCTCTTAAATACAATTTGGGAAGTGGGAAAAGAGAGCAGGGAACTCTACAATCAGCTATGTCCATTCCTTTACAGTCTCAGGAATGGCACTGATAGCCACAACTGGCTTTAAATTGGTCTGCAGAGAGATGGGCGGTGACAAATTTGATATATGGTCTGCAGAGAGTCGCAAGATACCAAGAAAGTGGGAGCTAAGGAGAGGAACTATATAATCTTAAAGTCTTCAATTGCTTACCCCTATTTAGAGAATTGCAAATATTAAATTTTCACTGGTTCTTTTTCTCCCTAAGTAATGAACAATTCCACATAGGAATATGTAACATACTCATCATAGATGTCCTCAATTACTTACAGGGGAGAAGTTTAAAAGGCAGTGATGGAGGGTGAGCATGGAATGTACCAAACCCTGTAACAATCAAGAAGAAGATGCAAGACAGCAGTGACTAAAATAGAGCAACATCTAGAAAAGTCACTCTTACTAGTGGGTACTGGGACCCATCTGCAATAGAATCCAGAATTGAGTCCAGTTCATCTCCAAGAACTCCTCCTTCAGTGAAGTCATCTACACTGTCAGACTCTGGCATGGATGTAACATCTGTAGAAGGGAGCAGGGTGGCTACAGGGAGTGATGTTGGCAGGCTTTTCGTATCCAAGTCAGATGATGAAAAGGCATTGGCTTCACTGGCACTGACAGAAGAAGCACTAGGAGTAACGATGCACTGAAGGACCACAGGACTATCTGCAAGATGAAGTATGAGATTACAGCTAAGGACCACTCTTTACAGACATTCCATTCAAGACAGAAAATACAAAGCAAATGCAAAATAATAGTCCATTTGTCCATCTAACCTACCGTTGCCTATTCTGACTAGCAACTGCTCTCCAGAGTCCTAGAGATTTATTTATTTATTTACATTTCAAATTTAGTCACCGCCCATCTCACAAGGAAGTGACTCTGGGCGGTTTACAATAAAAACAAATATTAATTAAAATACAATAAAAATAGTATGAAATACAGTAAAAATACAATAAAACCATATATAAATACTAATATCTTCCAAGGTGCTGCTGGTAGAAGAGATATTAACATACAGGAGCATCTTCAAGGTGCTAG